GGCCGACAACAGGCATTCTAAGTCTGGTGTTGCCACCTTATTTTTAGGTACCAACACCATGAGCAATTTTCAGCATTTTTTTTTTTAAGAAAAATTTTATTTTGATATAAGACCCACACATTTTCTACAAGGTTTTCTCAACTCTTATAAAAATTACCCATTCAACACCAAATTTGGGGATTTTTTATGTCAAAAGAGATGGGCCAATGAAGATTTCAACAATAATAGAAAATTAAAATTTAAGATTTTATATCATCAATTAACTTATTTTTCCTTAAATTATTCTTTATATTTTCAAATACTCACTTTGAGCTAATTGAGAGTAGCTTAAAGTTTCCTCATAAAAATGGTTAAATAATGAAAAAAAGGAAAAGAAAAAAAAAAAAAAGAGAGAAAGAACATTAAGGATCCAATTGAAAGGCGCATAGAGGGTTAGGGACAACTTGTGCAATTAGTTTATGAAAAAGGTAGAGGATTTTTCACCTGGTTTTTATTCTGAATTTTGTTTTTATTAAAATGTACATTTTAAATTGTTGAAAGAATTCAGAAAACATAAAAGTCAAAAATGAAACAAAATTAAAAAGTATAAAAAGGAAGACAAAAAGGAACCAAATTAAAAGGCTTGGAAAGTGAGGCACCTAAAGAAAAGAAAAAGGAATTTAAGGTCTGAACCCATGGCTTTGACCCAATTCCTAAAGCCCAAATCTGAACCCATAGGCCCTAATCCAGAACCTATAACCTAACCTTAAACCTTGTCAACTCCAGCCCAAAACATTACTCTTTTCCACGACCCTGTAAACAAAGACCTAAGATCAGCCACCAGGCCCACCCTCATTCCCTTGGGCCTCGGCAGCTTCTCCCTCGACTTGATCGGTTGATCCTTTCCCTCTTCTTCTTCTCCGATTCAGGCTCCTCCCGCCGCCACCCACATCATCTTCTCGGCAACGGTGGAATCAAAGGGGAAACACTCAACCGCCGTACAGATCCTTCACCCGGACTCTCCCTCTGCCAAAAAATAAAAAGTTCCAGCGCAGTTTCCTCCATCTTGGCCTCCGTTCACCATTTTTCCCTTCCTCTGGGTGCAGACACCCTCCGCCAGCTGTCAAACACCGTTGCTCCCTCTTTTCCCCTCCGCCGCTTACAGCTGGGGAGGGTCAGAAGTTTCCTGGCTGTCTGAAACGGAGGGAATCAGTCTCCGCGATTTGGCCGCGGAATGGTTTGCTCGTTGATTTCTTTGAGTGGTTTTTCACTGATTTTGTGTGTTTCATACTGAATAAGAGTGTATAGTGCCTTGTACAGTTCCTATTTTTGAATCTTATTTCCGGTGGCAACTGACGATCTTAAACCCTAACCCACGTTGATGATCCTCATCAATTGCCTATCTCGCCAAAACCAACCTCCACTTTCACTGGCCCTTACGCTCCTCAGACGCCAACTCTCCACCTCCGCCTCAAAACTCCATGACGTCTATTGTTTTAAAGCCCCACCCTCCCTCTCTCCAAATCCTCAAAAGCCTAACCCCGATGCAAAGACTCCCAAGAAAAAGCGAAAACCCCAGTACCGACCTCCGTCGTCCCTCGATAACGTTAAGACTGTACACTCCGACTTGCCATTTGATTTTCGGTTCAGTTACACGGAGAGTAGCCCGACGGTGAGGCCCATCGGGTTGCGGGAACCCAAGTATTCTCCGTTTGGTCCAGGTCGGCTGGACCGGGAATGGACTGGGGTTTGTGCCCCAGCTGTGGACCCGAAGGTGAAATCGGTGGAGGGTGTGGAGGATCCAAAATTGGAGGAGAAGAGGAGGAAGATGCGAGAGAGGATTCAAGGGGCACCTCTTACTCCGGCAGAGAGGAAGATTCTGGTTGAAAAGTGTCAGAGGAATAGGACTAAGAGGCAAATTAATCTGGGTAAATGTTAATTCTTTCCTTTAATTTTGCCCCCTTTCTTATCATTTTTCATGTTAGTGTGTATTCTCTCTTCTGAAAAGATGGCAATCTTATTTGATCTCTAGTATGATAGATTTGAACGATGTTTGCTTGTTTTCTTTCCCTCTTCTAGATACCCATTTTGGTTCATTCAAATATAAATTTTTGCTTTGTAGAATATGCATTTATGATGTGGGTGTTTCGTGTTAAGTTCTAAGTTATTGAATGGTCTTTTTATGGTCTCAAATGTAGGAAGAGATGGCTTAACTCACAACATGCTTAATGACATTCATAATCACTGGAAGCATGCGGAAGCAGTCAGGATTAAGTGCCTCGGTGTTCCAACTGTTGATATGAAAAATGTTTGCACTCAGCTTGAGGTATCTATTTTACTTCTAAAGTTCTAATATAGAGTATATAGTGATGTCAACTCTTGCTAAGCTCTATTTTTGTTTGTTGATTAATAAGAAATCTTTAATATTTGTATG